AGCAAATTATCAACATAGCGACTTGTGATGTTCATTAATGTAGTAAACACCTAGTAAATTATCAACATGGCGACTTGTGATGTTCATTAATGTAGTAAACTCCTAGTAAATTATCAACATGGCGACTTGTGATGTTTATTAATGTAGTAAACACATAGAAAATTATAAACATTAATGTAGTAAACTCCTAGTAAATTATAAACATAGCGACTTGTGATGTTCATTAATGTAGTAAACACATAGTAAATTATAAACATAGCGACTTGTGATGTTCATTAACGTAATAAACACCGAGTAAATTATCAACATAGCGACTTGTGATGTTCATTAATGTAGTAAACACCTGGTAAATTATCAACATAGCGACTTGTGATGTTTATTAATGTAGTAAACACCTAGTAAATTATCAACATAGCAACTTGTGATGTTTATTAATGTAGTAAACACCGAGCAAATTATCAACATAGCGACTTGTGATGTTTATTAATGTAGTAAACACCTAGTAAGTTATCAACATGACGACTTGTGATGTTCATTAATGTAGTAAACACCTTGTAAATTATAAACATAGCGACTTGTGATGTTCATTAATGTAGTAAACACCTAGTAAATTATCAACATAGCAGCTTGTGATGTTCATTAATGTAGTAAACACCTAGTAAGTTATAAACATAGCAACTTGTGATGTTCATTAATGTTGTAAACACCTAGTAAATTATCAACATAGCGACTTGTGATGTTCATTAATGTAGTAAACACCTAGTAAATTATTAACATAGCGACTTGTGATGTTCATTAATGTAGTAAACACCTAGTAAGTTATAAACATAGCGACTTGTGATGTTCATTAATGTAGTAAACACCTAGTAAATTATTAACATAGCGACTTGTGATGTTCATTAATGTAGTAAACACCTAGTAAATTATTAACATAGCGACTTGTGATGTTCATTAATGTAGTAAACACCTAGTAAGTTATAAACATAGCGACTTGTTATGTTCGTTAATGTAGTAAACACCAAGTAAGTTATCAACTTAGCGACTTGTGATGTTCATTAATGTAGTAAACACCGAGTAAATTATCAACATAGCGACTTGTGATGTTCATTAATGTAGTAAACACCTAGTAAATTATCAACATAGCGACTTGTGATGTTCATTAATGTAGTAAACACCTAGTAAATTATCAACATAGCGACTTGTGATGTTCATTAATGTAGTAAACACCGAGTAAATTATCAACATAGCGACTTGTGATATTTATTAATGTTGTAAACACCTAGTAAATTATACAAGTCGCTATGTTGATGTTCATTAATGTAAAATGTTTCCTCATAGCCTGAATACACACAAGTAACCCTAAATACATCTGACAAAGCGTCCATTACTGTATAATAGGTGTAAAGGAAAACCTAAGTGAAATTAGTATATTTTCGAAATTCTTTATTTTTCTTTAACTAGATATATCATAGTTAATATTTGTTTTGTTTTTTTATGTTAAGCACAGAGCTACACAATGGGCTATCTGTGCTCTGCCCGCCACGAGTATAGAAACCCGATTTCTAGCGTTGTAATTCCGCAGACATGCCGCTGTGCCAGTGGGGGAGGGGACGATTAATAAATAGTTTTATGAGTATAATTATCAGCATTCTTTTCATTGTTATTAATTTGACATTTCTAATGCTATAAATACTGTTGTACGTCAAAAAAGAAAACATGTTTAAACGAATGTAATTAACTTTGAAGTAGATATGGTATGTAGAAAACATGACCGAAGATAACGGTATCTTCAGGAATTATCCAGAGTTAAATAATGAGAAACTTTTTCATACTAGACGGATCGCGTTATCAAAGGAAATACGTTATCTTTCTAAGGAACCTATTTACGTGGAAGTCTATAATATAACTCTGATAATTACTTAGATAAATCAATGAAAATATACGAGGTGACCCTAACTTTTGACCTATGAACATTCAACTTGTGATATGAAATCATCACGTTACAAAACCTTGTTTGATAACCCTTGACCTACAATCTTAAGATATGTCATACGGCTTTGACTTTTGACCCACATAGAAATGTCTTCTGACCTTTGACCTACAATCCTGAATTTTCTTACATGATGTTGATCTACATAGAACTATCTTGTGACCTTTAACCTACAATCCTGAGCGTTGTTATATGCTTTGACCTCTGACCTACATAGATATGTCTTGTGACCTTTGATCCACATTCATGAGATGTGTCATACGACACTGACTTCTGATCTACATGCATCATAAATTACATAACTTACAGTCCAAGTTTGCCAAATAATTGAAATTAAATTAAAAACAAACAGACGAAAAGCACTCAATTTAAAGTGTTTCTAAAGTTTCGTTGAAAAGATAGCAAGAAGCTTATTCAAAACAAGTTACCTAAACATAATGAGAAATATAAAATTATTATGACGTCAAGGATGAGCAAAAGAAACAATAAGTGTCGTCCCTGTTTCAGCTAAACCTTCAATTATATGAGTCAAGACGTCCACACAGTTATATCAGAACCTAAGGTCACCCAATTCTCATAGTGGAATTGTACATACAGGAAACAGCCATCGAGACAGTTGAAAATTTAATGTATCGTTCTGCCTCTATCGTTGGAAGAATCTTTCTAAATGTTTTTATAAAACACTTGTGGCTATTAAGATCCCGGGCAATTTTTCATTTCATTTTATTTGCCGACAAGTTCGAGATTGCGGAAATCGATTTCGTGCAAAAATAGTGAATTAATCTTTACAACCACAAGAAATTAAGACTATCTTAGAACTCCGCCCGGAAGAGGCTGACATTAGTGAGTCCTTCAGGGATAGACGAGCATATCTTTCACAACTAATATACATTTCATTCTCTGTTCTCTGTACGGACGAGGGAAAACCTAATTAATCATGTAGAAAGATAACTTCGTAGTCTAAAGTAAACATACTATAATATTAAACTTTTGTTCAAGAACGGAACTCATAGATAAAGCTCTTGAATTTTTTTTCCACCACTGTGTGGCGCGCAAAGAACAATATCAACAGGCCTCCTTAATTGTACTTTAATCATTAACTCATTATTTATTTCTAAGGCTTTGTGATGATGTTATAAAGAACGAGATAAAAATGCTTTCAAAAGTTTACAACGAAACGATCTCTTCTCAATTGCCTGGGTTAAAACCTCTTGCGTTTTCTCTGACTTTGTGATGACGATATAAAAAAAAATAACTTACAACGAAACGTTCTCTTCTCGCGATTGTCTGGTTTAAAACTTCCAGCAACCAATCTTAATTATAACAATTTCTGATGAAAGCAAGCTATCTGCAGAACCCAAAACTAAAAGATTTGTTGTTTTTGTTAAGCACAAAACTACATAATAATTGTGCTCTGCCCACCGCAGTTGTCGAAACCCGATTTTTAGCGTTGTATGTCTGTAAACCTACCGTTGATCCAGCGGTGGTCAGCTAAAAATTAATCCAGTGATTTATATAACTAATTTAACCTACATATTTAACTAGGATTAGTCAGTGTTATAAAACAAAAGCTATTAATACATTGAATCATCAGTTGGGTAACCTCGGTGCTAACAGTATTTTCGGTCATAAGCCAATGATAACACACGACGTTCAGCCAGCTTAGAAGGTTAAGGTTAGTCACAAATCCCTGTACTAAGCTGAAAATGCAGGACAATTCTCATAAAAAAGAATTTATATATATATATATAATTAATATTAACTTCCGATGAGAGCAGGCTACTTAATAGAAACAAAATTAAAAATTAGTTTGGTAATGAGCATAGCTAATTAAATGTAATTTTCTATGGTTTTACTGAAAAATTAAAAATGGTAAAAATAAATAAATAAATACGTATGTATAATTTTAACCAATACTGCTGATGAAATGTTATTTCTTTTGTTTTTGGATATCCATGAAAAGCAACTGAAGGGCTAAACTTGACGATAGACAGCTATAATGGTCTAATTCATGAAACATAGAATTAAGTCACATACCCCCGCCCCCCCCCCCAGTGGCACAGCGGCATGTCTGTGGACTTACAACGCTATAAACCGGGTTTCGATACCCGTGGTGAGCAGAGCACAGATAGTCCATTGTGTAGCTTTGTGCTTAACTTCAAATAAACAAAGATATACTTTTTATTTTACAGAAAACATGACAACAGTAACAACATGCAAAAGGACTGAGGACTAGTACATGAATAATGCATTGTTATAATTTACTAATTATTTACTGCATTGTTATAATTTACTAATTATTTACTGAATCGTTATGATTCACTAATTATTTACTGCATCGTTATGATTTACTAATTATTTAGGGCCCGGCATGGCCAGGTGGTTAGGGCGCTCGACTTGCAATCTGCAGGTCGCGGGTTCGAATCCCCGTCACACCAAACATGCTCGCCCTTTCAGCGTTATGTGACGGTCAATCCCACTATTCGTTGGTAAAAGAGTAGCCCAAGAGTTGGCGGTGGGTGGTGATGACTAGCTGCCTTACCTCTAGTCTTACACTGCTAAATTAGGGATGGCTAGCGCAGATAGTCCTCGTGTAGCTTTGCGCGAAATTCATAACAAACAAACTAATTATTTACTGCATTGTTATAATTTACTAATTATTTACTGCATTTAGATAGATAAGTAATAATCGATAAAGAAGCACTTTATATATTATAATTATATCCGTTTACATCGCTTATTGAATTACTTGCTCCAAGTCTACGATGATAACTGACTGAATAGCGAATATACCTGTTCACTGTAATAAGTCAGCGGCTTGTACCTTAACACGAACCAGTTGCACAAGACAAGTGCTTTAATGGATCTCCCAGAGCGTTTCAAATAGAATTACGATCTAATGTGGTTATTAACAAAACCCAGCCGTATCAAAATGAACACCTTGAAAACCCTCATCAAACATCTGACAATAAATCAAGTCCATCACTTCGACAGTGATAACTTGACAGAATAGTTATTGTCCGGGTCTACGTCATATAGACTGTAAACGGTTTTTGTAATATAATTTTCACTGTCCGGGTCTACTTCATATAGACTGTAAACAGTTTTTGTAATATAATATTTATTGTCCGGGTCTACTTCATATAGACTTTTAATGTTTTTTTATAATATAATATTTATTGTCCGGGTTTGCTTCATATAGACTGTAAACAGTTTTTGTAATATAATATTCATTGTCCCGGTCTACTTCATATAGACTTTTAATGTTTTTTTGTAATATAATATTTATTGTCCGGTTCTACTTCATATAGACTTTTAATGTGAAAAACTACACGTGCACGAGACAGATACCAACAATTACCATGGTAATCGGAAGTGACGGGTATTCAAGTTCTTCCTACATAATGGTTTATTAAAATTTTGTTTGTTCAAGTACTAACGAAATATTCCCACAATACCAGTTAGTTTTCAATTCTGGTTAACATGCACTACATATTTAGGGTATTTCGCCACATAAAAATGGAGTGTGTTGTTTTTAAACTTGTCGTTTAAAGGTAGTCTTCTTGTTTTCGGTTTAAGGATCTCATTCCAAATGGCGTTTACAAATTTACCTGTCGCCATGGTTATATTGTTT